TTAGTTCTAGTGAAAGCTGCTTTTGAAGATCTCTTCAGGCATGATGTTTAACCTATTCTCCAGGCTGCTGCACTACCTTTGCTGGGACCAGGGCAAGAGGCACTGCATGTTGTTGTGGTAACCAGTTTGCTGCTAAAGGAAACCGGAAATAAGGGCTTCATGTTTATACAAAGAAACTCAAGGTTCAGTCCCATGAAAACATGACATCTTGGATGCGGCTTGTGACCTGCCAGCTTATCGATTTTTGCTTGGTAATTTAGATGTTCATATTATAGGCCACAGGGAATGAACTATTAGCTGGCTGGGTTACCCATAAGGGGGGAGAAGGGAAAGGGGCCGAGACATTTGGGAAATGGAAGGATAGATCAGCAATAGCAACCTTGGGCTGAAATCAAAAAGAAACTGGAAGATAATCAGTGGTATTGCCCATTCCTACAGTTTATTTTCATGCAAAGCATGGCTCTGGGGTGGGTGTTCCCAGTAACCACACAGCAGTTTCATAATAATTGTATAATAAAGCCATTTCAACATTAAGCACGTTAAAAGGGTGTTGAGGAAATAGCTGTGCTAACATTGACAGAACCTTCATTGAAACATAAAGAAACGTGGAAATTAGCATTATATTCTCTGCCAACTTTGAGCGTTCCTTCACAGAACGTTACCTCACGTTCTGGGAAAGTTCCCTGTTAGCTGGAGAGGTTAAACCATCAATAAAGCTAGTTAACAGTGCTGCCTCATGGACCATGGCTTTACCATGTTTTTCGCAGTATTTAGAAAGTATAAATACCAGAAGTCAATGAATATCTAGCCAGTTTCATTTATTTCAGAATTGGACATTCACAGCCAGATAGCAATACAGAGGATGCACACAAAATATTCCCAAAGGAAATATCACCAAGGGAGTGTTTTCCCTGCATAGTCCAGATATCCTCCATGATCCTTTTCAGACAATCCAGCAAGCAGACTCAGGATTGAGGAAACACTCTCCTCCACACTCAGGTCAGCCTAAAAATAGTACAGCACACAGAATATAAGGGTGTGGATCATGCAGATGTTCCTGGTGCTCACTATCAACAGGGTCCACACAGCAAAATGACCTCAAGAGTATCACTGACCTGTGGCCCCCCCATGTCAGTACGCACCCAGCCCGGGTGAACGGCCACACAGAAAATTCCCTCCGACTCCAGATCTTCGGCTAGACACCTCGTCACCATGTTCAAGGCTGCCTGTGTTAGGAACCACATCAGAAGTGAGACAAAGCAGGTTCTGACCAGCTTAAGATATCTATGTTTGTGTTCTGAAATGGTTTACTCTGATGCAATATTACATACGCAGAAATGTAATTTAATTGGTGAAACAGGAAGTAGCGTCCCAAATCATCTTAAGATGCTAACCTTTGACAACTGACATTTGTAAAAAAGTAAAACAAATGGGGTAAAGGAGAATATGGATATGTGAGCATTTTGTTCAAGTTAACAATACTAAATATTTACAATTGTCATCTTCAGTCTCTGCAGTGATCACTAGTGCCAAGAGTAAATTATGCCTACATTTGTATAAAATGTTGCTTTGTTGCACTACTTTGCATTGCAAGCAATTAGTTCCCTCAATGTTCACTACATGGAAACATTTACTTTATAGGTAATTGGTGAAATAAGACTAACTCCTGGTATTTTCAAAAAGCAAAACTCCGCGAGAAAGGAGAATATGGATGTCACCCCATTTAAGGTACTGTTCATGATTAATATGAATTTAAAAATTGAAACATCTTCAGTGTCTGCAAAAATCATTAATATCATTCTTGCTTTCATTATTTTTTTTAAAAAAGCTTACATTTGCATAAAAAGTTGCTCTCTTTTTCTGTCTTTGAATTACAAGTAGCCAGTTGACAACAGCACTCACCTTTGCATTGCATTATGGTATACATGGAGCCTAGAGTGAGATTTGCCATTGAGAATCCAAGCAGCAGTACAGAAGAGTGAATGCACTACATATTGTCGCACATCTGCAGCAGTGACTTGATTTTGAACACAAGCTATGACATTTTTGCTGTTGTCGGCAAACACAAAGCTTTGGAAAGTTGCTGCAAAATTTTTTACTTTAAAATTGGATTTGTTACCATGTCATGTCATGTCATTAATATCCTGTAACCATTATATTGTTGGATACAGTTTGTGGGGTTTACCATTTGAAAACCAAGGTTGCTTATAATCTCATGTGCCGTTTTGAAGCAAATCAGCCCATAGCACACTAAAATGAGTCAATTCATTCAAGCTGAGCAGGCGGACAAGGAACTCCGATCTGATTCTTCCAAGGCTCACCTTGGAAGCTCTATAGGGATAGCACTTGAATTCTGTCAAAGCTCCACAGTTGAGCTCAACAGATCCGAGACTGGAGGACACATTGATCACAGCAGCCCTGTGGACCCCCATCCCAGAGCCACGCATCGCAGCTGCCCGCAGAAGCGGCAAAAAGGCCTGCAACAGGGAAAAAAAAAAAAAGCACCCAGAAATATCTAATTAAATAAGAAAATACTATTATCAACTTTTGGTGAACAGAGCTGTCCAGTTCATACTGGTGAAGGGAAGTTTGAGAACAAATGTCTGTCCATACACTGAGCATAAGGAACAGAAACACCTTGGATGGGATGGCAGTTACAAGCCACAGGCAACTCAGAAATGAATTAGCACAACTGCATCTCTCTGGACTGCAGAAGGTAACATGTGTCATACAGCGAGAATATGGAAATTCCATACAGAGAATATGGGTGGGATTCAAATCCCCAACCATGGGAGTATGAAAACAGTGAGCACTACTCACACAACCATTGTTGCAAAGAGAGGAAAAAAATAAACACATAAAACATGAATAACTCTGTGGGTTGTAAGTTTCCAGAGGACCACACAACTTTACCTTAGTGACCATGAGAGGGGACACAGCGTTACATTCAAATGTCTTCAGCATCTCTTCAGCTGTCACCATTTCTAGGTCGGTGGCCTTGTGGACGGCTGCATTGTTTATAAGGCAGTTCAGCCCCTCTGCCCCCACCAAAGGTGACACTTCCTCAACAGCAGCATCTATACTGATTTGACTGGTCACATCTTAGAGAAAGATAAATCACATTCATTTCATTTTTGGTGACTCAAATATTGGGGTACTCGGCACAATTCTAATATATCAGTATAAAAATCGGTATTAAAATAAAAGATTCATAACTAATCTTTCAAAAAAACTTACATGTGTTGAAAAATGTATATTGATCGTTTTTAATACAAAGAAAAGCATTGCGGCGCGATACAAATGCAAGTTCCTAAGGATGCCCACGGAGCTGCACGCTTTAGTCGCCTTTCCACTTGTTCCGCCATTGTTTAGTTGACAATTTCTTGTGTTTATTGTGTGACAGTACGAGTGCCGATGCACCACTTGCGCCATCTGCTGACAACATCTACTTACCAAGTGTTACAACGTGGACGCCCGAGTACTCCTTAGCAACTCTTTGAAGATCCTAAAAGTCGCCAAAAAAAAAAAAGACACATTTTACAGGTTACGTGAAGCAATCAAAAATAGGACCTAGTATCCCATACGAAATAAATGCTTATATGAAACGTTACTCCGTCTCTCTTAGATGACCGCAAACATCACATTCTAATGTCAAATTCACCTATTGTAAATATGCCGTGACAAATGGGACCCACTAGAAACAGGTCATCTTGTTGATCTTTTTAGCTAAAAATAAAGCGCTTAAATTATATAGTCTAGAAAAACACACTACCATTACCCTTCTGAGCATGATCAATTACACAACAGTGATGATCGTGATGATCTGTACTTTAAAGAAGAGAAAGAATAAAGTACCTCTGCAGCCTCTGGGTTACGGGCAGCCGCGATAATTAGCGCCGGCATTTCGGTCTTTTTAGCCAAATCTTTAACTATTTGCAGACCGATGCCCCTGCTCGCCCCGGTTAGCAGCACTGACCGACACTCGCGTAATGCTCCGCTCATCGTTGTAATTGTGCCACGCACACACCGCACTCGCAATGTATTGCAAAGAAAATAATGCCATTGCTCTGTATGCGTGGTTTATAAAGGCTGGTTCATTACCGCGGACTAGCCACACCGTACCGCTGTTATGACGTAATTTTCGTCACAGGGGTCGGCGCGGAGACGGCGTTTGTAAGCCGCGCAACGCGGACGGTCCACAGCAAATGCGACTCTATCATTCATAAAGTAATAAAGGAGATTACGTTACGTCTGCTTTATTTAACAGATGTGTTTATCCAAAGCGACGTACAAGTGAGGCTTGTTTTAGTAAAATACTTATTTTTAATATATACCCCATATGGGCAATAGTAATGGGACACCTAGCCATTACACCTACAGGAATTTTTATAACATCCCATTCTAAATCCATAAACATTAATATGGAGCTGATCCCCCCTTTGCAGCTATAACAGCTGCCGCTCTTCTGGGAAGGCTTTCCAGAGGACTTTGGAGTGCATCTGTGGGAATTTTTGCCCATTCATCTAGAAGAGCATTTGTGTCAGACATGAAGGTCTGTTCTAGTTCATCCCAAAGGTGTCAGATGGGGTTGAGGTCAAGGTTCAGCACAGGCCAGTCGAGTTCTACCACACCAAACTCACCTAACCATATGTTTATGGACCTAGCTTTGTGCACTGGGGCACAGTCAGGCAGGAACAGAAAAGGGCCTTCCCCAAACTGTTCCCACAAACTTGGAAGCATATAATTGTCCAAAATGTCTTGGTATGCTGAAGCATTAATAGTTCCCTGCACTGGAACTAAGGGGCCTAGCCCAGTCCCTGAAACACAACCCCATACCTTTATCCCTCCTCCACCAAACTTTACAGTTGGCACAATGCAGTCAGTCAGGTAACGTTCTTCTGGCATCTGCCAAATCTAGACTTGTCCATCAGACTGCCCTGGCGCGCGGCCTACAAACGCCGTCTCCGCGCCGACCCCTGTGACGAAAATTACGTCATAACAGTAGTACGCTGTGGCTGGTCCGCAGTAACTATACATTGCGAGTGCAGTGTATGCATGGTACAATTACAATAATGAGCGGAGCATTAAGCCAGTGTCGGTCAGTGCTGCTAACCGGGGCGAGCAGGGGCATCGGTTTGCAAATGGCTAAAGATTTGGCTAAAAAGACCGAAAGGCCGGCGCTAATTATCGCGACTGCCCGTAACCCAGCGGCTGCAGAGGTACTATACTATTTCTCTTTAACATACAGATCATCACTGTTGTGTAATCGATCATGCTCAGAAGGGTAATGGTAGTGTTTACTTTTTCTAGATTATATATTTTAATCACTTTTATGTTCTAGTGGGTCACGTTTGTCACGGCGTAACGTGAATTTAATATTAGAATGTAGGCCTATTGTTTGCGGTCATCTAAATAATAGAGATACGGAGTAATAGTATGTATAAGGCATTCATTTCGTATGGAATACTAGGCCGATATTTGATCTTTTCACGCAACCTTGATAAATATATAATGAAAGACGTTTTTTTTTTTTTTGGCGATTTAGGAACTTCAAAGAGTTGCTAAGGAGTACTCGGGCGTCCACGTTCTAACGCTTGGTAAGATGATCCTGCCAGCAGATGGCGTAAGTGGTGCATCGGCACTCGTACTATCCTGAAAAAGATGCTATTGAAATCCATCCAACCGATTGTTCTATTCGGGGTCGCGGGGGGCTACGGGCACAAGGCAGGGAACAACCCAGGTTGGGGTGCCAACCCATCACAGTACATAGTCACACACCATTCACTCACACACCTTTGGGCAATTTGGTAACTCCAGTTAACCTCAGCATGTTTTTGGACTGTGGGGAGGGAACCAGAGTATCAGGAGGAAACCCCACGATGACACGGGGAGAACATGCAAACCACACACACATGGAACCCTGGCAGAGACCCAGAGATGTGAGAACTGTGCCAACAATGCATTTCTGTGCTGCCCCCGCTATTGATTTCCCTTCCTTTTAGTTTTATAAACAGCTCTGTCCAACATAGGTTCTGGCAAAGGAGGGACCCAAAGGATAGTTGAATTTACCGGATAGCTAAATATCTTGAAGTGCATTTCTTACACTTCCTCCTTTCTTGCACTTAATTCTTCATTTTATACATGCATTAATGGTGGTTGTAGTAGTTTAAATCGGATAGTTAATAGTAGAGATCGCGAAGTAAATGCACTCAGTGAAAAGAAGTTAAGCATCCAGATGGAGTGGTGGAAATTAAATGAATCTACATGTGCTGAAAGGTCATGTAACCATCTCAGTGATTATAATATCCGATCAAATGGGCAACAGAGTTGGCAGTATGGGCACCATGTCAGTAGGGTGTGGCACCCCCCTGGGCCTGGATACATGTGGTGATTCCTTGCAGAAGGGAGTCATACAGCCATTGTATCCCCTCTTGTGGCAAGTCAGCCCACAGCTGCTGTAACTGGCCCTCGAGATCCTGCAGACTGGCACTGGATCTGAGTTGACATCTGAGCTGATCTCACACATGTTTGATTGGGGACAGATCGGGGGACCTGGCTGGATGCAGGAGGACCTCAACATGACACAGGCAATAGACACAGGTGCCATGTGTGGACCGGTGTTGTCTTGTTGAAAGCCGATACCAGGGTGCTGTCTCTGGAGGGGTCAGGCATGCGGACGCAGGATGTCACTGACGTAGCGCTGTGCCATCAGGGTCCCCCCCCCGCCAATTACTACCAGAGATGACCTAAAGTCATACCCCACACCATAATGCCACTCCTCATTAGTCCATGCCTCCCGGTTACGGCACCACTCCAAATGCAGACATTTGCACTGGTGTTAACGCCAGCCTACGCATGGGATGGTGAACCCGTAGTCCAGCTGATGCCAGTCATTGAGTCACGGTGCAGGATGACACAGGGTGTTGTAGAGTCCAATACCTGTGTCCGGAGGGCAGGCACAGATGTCATGGGGTTCAGTAATGCTTGTCGCTCAATACGACGATCCTCCCTTGGTGTGGTCTGTCTTGGGCGACCGGAACCTTCACGACGTGTGTGGGTGCCCTCACGTGCCCATTGGTTCCAACATCGGGCGACTGGGACATCTGCATGCCCCACATGCTGGCCAATTACACAATACAACCACCCAGCCTCATGCAAACCCACAATGCGACCCCTGTCAGACTCCATCAAGTGCTGGTAATGCTGTGTAATGCGTCTACGAGGCATCCTCTGTGTCTGGTGACTAGACGTCGAAATCAAATCATTCACATACCCATCGCTGGCCTGCACATGTCCCAGATTACATCCAAATCAGACCATTACTTCTGGGTGCTTAACTTTATTTTGTCACTGAGTGTAATTGCGTAACAAGTAGAAATAGTACAAAGTGTGCCACTCATTATGCAAGCTCAGGAACTGACATTTGCCATATCATTGTTTTTGTTGTTTAGTGTATATTTTTAACAGACTATTGTAAGACTTATTTTTTTATACTGATATTTTAGAATTGTGCTGAATACCTTTGTACGAGGTTTTTGAGTCACCAAGAATGAAATGAATGTGATTTATCGTCCTCTAAGATGTGACCAGTCAAGCCAGTATAGATGCTGCTGTTGAGGAGGTGTCACCTTTGGTGGGGGCAGAGGGGCTGAACTGCCTTATAAACAATGCAGCCATTGGCAAGACTATCAACCTCAAGACGGTGACAGCTGAAGAGATGCTGAAGACATATGAAAGTAACACTGTGGCCCCTCTCATGGTCACTAAGGTAAAAAGTCATATGATCCTCTGGAAATTTTATAATACACCAATAATAGATGTATGTTTTGTGCGACAGTGGTTCTGTGAGTAGCACTGTGGTCTCACACCTCCATGGTTGGGGATTTGAATCCCACCTTCATTCTCTGTATGGAATTCCCATATTCTCTCAGCATCACAAAGGTTTCCTTATGCAGTCCAGAGAGATGCAGTTAGGTTGGTGACTAGGGCTGTGGTACACAAAATTCACTGTTTGGTGCAATTTCAGTATAGCAGGGAAAGCGATTTGTTTTGAAATATGTTTGCTTCTAGTAATTAAAAAGTCAGAAACAGTCGTAATCCAAAGTTAATGAGTTTGAATCATAAAACTAAGACACGCTTATTTGCACTTGTGAAGGTAAATGTATAACAAATGTACTGAACTACATCCTGTTAAATTCTGTGTTCTCTGCTGCTGACTATGGACACACATCTGTAGTCTGTAGGTATTTTTCAGCCTAGTTTAAATTTCCTGGCAAAAGTGCCTTTAATGCCCCCGGGAAACTAACTTTCAGTGGCCGTTTTTGCCTTGTTCCGGTCGTACACACACTTGAATGGTTCTGTCTCAAATGAGTTAGCACATTGGATGTGTTTCCAGCAACATCCAGATCAGTATAACAGCGCCAACAGACAGTCTTGGTCTTAACTACTTCCTCCAGTGCTAGTGTAATAAATTGGAAAATCAAAATGTTCCCAAACTGCCAATTATGACTGACTGTAATCAGCATTAGCCATAACCAAATCAGCCACAATTAGCATAATGTTCTCTGTGCTGTACATTTAGATTCTGCCTGTCCATAAATGTATTCATTCATTTCATTGTGCGTACTGAACTGAAAATGTACTGAATGGTCTATTTAATATAGATAAATGTTTTCAAATTTCCCAACACTTAATGAACTGGACAGCTCTTTCTTTACCAAAAGTCGATAATGGTATTTTCTTGTCATTTAATTTTCTGATTTTTAAGGCTGCTATATTCCTGTTGCAGGCCTTTTTGCCGCTTCTGCGAGCAGCTGCGACACGTGGCTCTGGGATGGGGATCCACAGAGCTGCTGTGATCAACATGTCCACTGTTCTTGGTTCCGTCCAACTCAACTTTGGCTCGGTTTTGGGTCCTTTGGCAGAATTTAAGTGGTATCCCTATAAGGTGTCCAAGGTAAGTTCTTAACCGTCCAGAAGCAGATCTGAGCCCCTCACCTGCCTGCTTAGCTTGAATGAATTGTGACTTTTGATGTGTTGTGTGATTGTTTTAATACAATGGTCAACTGTGTCAAAGGCTCCAAAGATTTTAATAACTTTAATTCTAGGGATCCCTAGCAAGTTGTCTTCTTTCACCAATTCCCTATGTAGCAAATTACGTTTTCCTGTGTAGAGGATATTGAGTGAATGAGTGAACCATTTGGAACACAGTCATAGAAATATTCTTAAGCTGATCAGAACCTGCTTTGTCTCGCTTCTGATGTGGTTCCTAACACAGGCAGCCTTGAACATGGTGACGAGGTGTCTAGCCGTAGATCTGGAGTCGGAGGGAATTCTCTGCGTGGCCGTTCACCCGGGCTGGGTGCGCACTGACATGGGGGGCCCACGGGTGAGTGATGGATGCTCTTTTGAGGTCATTTTGCTCATGTGTGGAACCTCTTGATAGTGAGCATCAGGCGTAATTCACAGTCTATCTGGGTATCCTGTGTGGTTGTGGGGTTTTTTTTGCTTCTAGGCTGACCTGAGTGTGGAGGAGAGTGTTTCTTCAGTCCTGAGTCTGCTTGCTGGATTGTCTGAAAAGGATCACGGGGGATATCTGGATTACACAGGGAAGACACTGCCTTGGTGATATTTCCTTTGGGACGCTTTGGCTGCATCCTGCATCCTCTTTATTGCAACCTGCTTTAATGCTGTACCTGTAATTGTGAAATAAATGAAACTGGCTCGATATTCAGAGACTTCTGGGATTGTTTACATTTTTTGTAAAAATGTTGAAAAAAGCAGTGCAAGGAGGCAGTGCTGTTAAGTAGTTTTTATTGATGTTTCAACCTCTGCATCAACCGAAGAAAAATAAATCAATAAAACTGTCTCTTTATGGTAATAGAGACGGTAGTGAAGGCACCAGCAGCTTTTACTATGAAAGGAAGAGGAACAAACAGATGGCGTGGAGCCAAAGCAGTGAAATCCGAGGTCTGGAGTAGCTCTGTACAGGTTGGCACCAGACTAGGGTTGGCCCATCTCATCTGATGTGAGCGAGGAGGGCAAATTATCAAGGGCTCCCATTTCTGAAAGAGAAAAAGGAACAAGCGGGTTGGTGACTCTTATGGTAAATGTGTCGGATGAAGGTGGTTAAAATATCAGCAATATGATCTTGCGCAGGCCTTGGTTTCCTGCCACTGTCTCTTCCTGTTCTTAGATGTTCATGCTCAAAGTTCTAGTGGCTTTGCACATATCTGCATGCAGAACAACATGTACAGTACTGCTGGCATCCTTTCTATGATAGAAGGGAAACCAAACTGGTCAGTGTGTAATGGCCCTTTGTTAAATCTGGAAAGTCACAGTATTGGTGGTAAGTTGTGAACTTATGGAATTTTCCACATGCACTTAAAGATGATGACAATAGTGATGAAGGTGCAGTGATCATACCTTTCAGCCTCAGGTAGGATAAGAAGTCAATGATGGTGTGTATTTCATTCTCATTTGCTATTCTCAAAGGTCCTGTACAAACATCACAATATTACCATAAATATTGGCCTAAAATCACACATTAATGATGTCATAGGTGTCCCTCAGCACAGCTTCTTCCCCTTCACCTGATTTGAAGTCGTCTTCTGTGAACAGGTCCCTTTTCCCTGCTAAGCCGTGCTTGTCGCTGAGGCTTCTGTGGCTGTCGATGGCATCTGTCCCCAAAACAAAGCCACAGATAATACACCTGGTCCACCTGGTGACACCACCTCTCTCCCCACCTCCCCCCCCCCCATCCCTCTGCTCTGTCTGTGCACCCATGACCCTCAGACAGCATTTTAGGAAAAAGGGGGGGGACAAAGCAACCTGCAGGCCTTGAGTCAAAGAAAAGCGTTCAGACTACGGGATGCGAGGATGCAGGGAAACGTCAGAAACAGACAGAGGGTGTGTAGGAAGGATTTCACACACAAGGAGAAGCAAAAACGCTCCACTGAGGTGAACCGGGCAAACGGAACACGAGAGGACTGCATACCTGACATGAAGTCCCACCTGAACCTCACCCTCTTGATGGACACATAAAGGCACAAAGGTCTGGAGGAAACCAGACAACTGTAGCCGTCTTTGCATCCTTATTTCACAAACTAGGAATTACACTTTCAGGCAAATCCTCACCTCCCTGTTATTGAACATTAAAAGTTGTAATCTGTAACCCCCCCAGTTTAACCCCCTTAGAGTATGACACCCAAATTAGGACAGAGAATTACAGCGATTAAGTACCAGTAACGCTAAATAATGTCTTAATCAGTCACATAGCTGCTGTTTTAATGCATCACCAAATGTGAATGTTTCCCCTCCAGCTCAAAATGCTTTTTCTGGTTCAAACATTTGATGGTTTATCTTATTATAAGAGCTGTCAGAAGTATACATTCACAAACGTAGCCTAAACATTAAATCCATTTGAAAATATACAGGGGGTGTACTATGCATCAGTGTGTTCTAGACGACCATCTCTATTAATTTACCCCTAAGGATTCTGGGCTGTGATTCACCTGCTCCATGTAACACGGGCCACACACGCTAAATAACAGACACAGAAAGCAGCGCATCATGGAACAGTTTCTCTGTTGACTTCAAGCGACCTGCAGGAGCATCTTACATTCACCAAGCAGCTCCTCTCTCCCCCTTGCACTGGGAGTATCCTTAATCTGTATTAGGTGCTCAATACGACCTGAAACAAAGGGATGATTGTGTTTGACCTGGGCTTTAAACACTTCCTCCGGTTTGTATTTTTAGCGTTTTATGAGAAAAAAAACTCGTTTCAGTCCTTTTTGAAGACTGAGACCGAGCCGATTCAGATGCTCAGTAGTGCAAAAGTCAGCTTCTCTGGAGGTTACTGGAAATGTGCTCCTTTGAGAAGCAGTGATGGCAGTTCTTGTGATTTTTACACATTTTCTCCCAGTGACATTAGCTGGCTGTTTGTCTCAACTGCTGGTCATAACAAAACTACGTTCACGCAAAACCACACTGACTGAATCCTCGATTTCAGGAATTATTCCCATATCTCACAGTTTGGCTATATATTTATAATCTTTATCAGAAAACAAGATATCAAGATGGTATCCTCTGGACTTAAATCTTAAAAGAAAATTGCTTTTACAAAGAATTCGGATAAACTCCACTCCTACAGTGTACACAATTCCACTTGGCAGCATTGCGTCTCTGTTAAGGTTCTGTTTTCTTTAAAGTCAGCGGTAGATTCATTAAGAGACTGATTCTACTGCACCATGGGAAGAGTAATTGTGCACCAGGATTAACAATGATGAACAGTGGGAAGTTCACTTTTCACATAGATACACGTTAAAAAAAATACAGAAGAGAAATGAGGACACTTCTAGTTAGGCTCCATCATAGCACATTATATAGGCAACTGTCCGCTTTTTAAAAAATTTAAGTAGACGGGCATTCTTGGGGAAATAACTCGGGGAAAAAAATCACCGAAAATATATATAAAGAACAAAATCAACTTGCTGAATGATGTGAATGAGAGGAGAAGACACCAACAGCAATTGTCTGCAAATAGCAGGTCATGTACTCGTTGAGGTACTCACGGGGACCAAGGAGATAACCAGCGCTGTTCAGAGTCCAGCCCCGCTTCTCTTTGGCCTGGCATGAGGGAAGCAAATAATAATGTCCCAATCTCCACAGAGTTTTTGTTTTAAAATCTTTGCTTTCAGAACAATTTATTTTGTAGCATTTCTTAAACCACCCCATAATTATACATTATTTTAAGACGGAATACGGTGGTATTATTGGAAAGCTCAAATACAACAAATTAAATTCAATTTTTTTTTCTTTCCAAACCAAAGTAGTAAACTTTAGTAGGCCTGTTTGAAAATTGAAATGATTTATAGCTTAATAATTTCTTGGTCATGAATAGTACTTTCTATTACGAATATTGCTGTTCTTATAAAGAGATGACATCATGAAAGTATATATTATAGTAATATTGATCATACCGCAATCACTAATCCGATAGTCTCCGACAGCGCTGCGCAAAAGACAAGGAAAACGCAAACAACACCAACAGACTTCTGCATCTACGGAAGTGAGAAAAGAAGACGAAGCTCAGTCAAGTTTTTCATTCAGTAAATTTCATTATGAAAAGAAGTAATATCTAGAGAAATATGCAGCAATTGTATATTGAATCATAAAGTTTGTATATCGGAATAATTTTAAGCAAATCTTTAAGTATTCCTGTTATTATTTAAAAAAAAAACAAAAAAACAAATAGACATCTCAAACTCACCTTGTGCGATCTTCAGCTGGTCCGTCGAAGAAAAATTCTGAACTAGGAAAGTCTAATCTTTAGCGTCCGATTATCTCTTAAACATAAATATATTATCTATGTAAAATAAGACTTTCAAAATGAGTATTCCTGGGAGACCGTTTCCATTCTGGTTTGCGTACGCCTGATGTTCGGTGGGACGGGATGGTAGGAGGGTCGCCTTTTATTTATCCTGGAGCTGCGAAAAGCACCTGTTGGCGAGGCTTGCGTCACTACCTTTATTCCAACCATTAGTGTCAATACGTTAAGAAGACGAACAAATTACAATAATGAGATCAGATTTTCCTGAAAATCATTGAAAGTATAGAGATGGAAAATACTTGGAATATTACGTCAAATTATAATAATCATAATTCATAAAAGGAATCATGTTACGAGAGCCTGATTTCATCTGGGTCTTGAGACATACTACACCTCTGATTAAGTGTGAGGGATATTTACTTTACATTTACGTGAATTTATTTCACGGTTGCTTTTGTCCAAAGCACCGTAATAGGAGGCAGATAATATGTATATCACAGGCTTACAGGCTTAGGTAGCCTATAAGACCTGCTAGACTGGGCTTCTAATGAATGACAAGGGCAAGTACAGTAAGTATTCGAGCAAAAACTGTACAGGACACTAAAAAAACAAGTAAGAACCTAAAGTCAAAGAACATCTAATGTTACAGCTCCGTGATCTGATGTCTTATTTGAGATGTTCCCGGAAAGATGGGTCTTCCATCAGTGGTTCAGCATTACGTTAAAAATGACCAGTCACGTCATTATATATAACTGCAGAATAACGGCTATATGGACACATAAATATCGGTGTGTGCGCGCTGTGTTGAAACGCCTTGTACCCGTTTGCTGTATTACACCGAAACACGCTGGGATTTGATTTCCCGAGTCAGATGAGATGGGCCAGGTTGCTGCCGCCCTGTATGCAGTCACACCGCGGGCTTTGGATGTCACCCACCCGAAAATAGCAACTTTTTCAGTTTTTTAAGGAAAGCCTCTCGTGTGGTACAACGAGAATGGTAGTTAACGAAATGCATGTTTGGGAATGTTCTGCCTTTGTTGGGGAGGTACGTAGTCCTAATCCCAAATTTTAGTAACATGATGCCAGTCTTCTTCTTCTTCTTCTTGAAACAATGACGACATACGATCCACCGGGCAGTCCGTGTCAAATACCCACACTGGTTGAAACCAAAGTATCGTCATTAAATAACAATCCAGTTTTTGATCTCAGGTCGTAACATTCTTCTCAGGCATAGCATTGAGTCTACGATAAATATAATTTAAAATGACTTTCATATAGAGAAAATAAACCTACATTTAGTTTTAATGGTGGTGCAAGTGCTTGTTTTCTCTTAAATAATTAAATTCCTAAATTAAAATTCAAACAATCAACGATCAATGAATGTAATAATTTATGCT